AGCTAGTAAATCACTCAGAAACAGCTTAGAAAGACAGAGGCTGATAACGTGATTTCCCCTTTGCCCACTTAATATATATATACTCTCTATTGCTTTCGGCAACGGCCCACACTTGCGGCAGAAATATAGAAATAATCTGATGCCCGAACAGATAAAAGGTTTAGGGCTAGTGATATACAGATGAGAAGCCTGTGTGCCCCTACTAGGCAAGTGAAACAAGGCATTCAGCATCTTCTTGTTTTTCCCCCCTTTTTTTAGGGGGGGGGGGGCAGGGGTTCAGCTGTACTCAGGAGTTATTCCTAGCTCTGCCTGCACTCAGTGATCACTCCTGATGGGCTTGAGGGACCATACAGGGTGCGAGGGATCAAACCCGCAGCAGCTGCGTACAAAGCAAATAAATACCTCCCTGCTGTGCTATCGGGTGGGCCCTGTCACTAGCATTTTCTTGAGAGGAAGGGCTAACAGCAGCTGAAGCCCAGCACTGGTCCAGGAAGTGCTCCCCATCCCCAGGAGGTAATAATGATGGTGTTCAGTCAACAAACGCCACAGTATGGGGAGATTATCCTGTCTATAACCAAACAGGCCTTGAGGCAGAAAACTTATCAGTTAGAACATGGGCTTAAAATGTCCAGTCTTGGGGCTGGAGCAATAGCACAGCGCGTGAGGCGTTTGCCTTGCACGCAGCAAACATGGCCAACACAGGTTCGATCCCCAGCATCCCTTATGATCCCCCGAGCACCACCAGGAGCAATTCCTGAGTGCATGAGCCAGGAGTAACCCCTGAGCACTGCCGGGTGTGACCCAAAAAGCTAAATAAGTTAAATAAAATAAAATGTCCAGTCTCTGAAGAGCGGTTTGCTCTGATTTCCGGAAAACTCTTTTTCGAGTGTGTACCATATGGCTTTTAAATTGACTGGAAGCTAGATGCAAACCTAGTCCTTTGCAGTGTCTGCTGATCTGGTTCAGATGTTAGGAGACGAACCCCGATTACCTGATTGGATCAGAGCCGTGAGTCATTGCGGACCCTTCGTTACAGACACAGCTCTGGATCAGAAAACAGGTTTTCAAATCTAACCACCTTAATCACCTTTACAATTGTCTGGGGGCCAAGGATGTGACTCAGTGGTATAGCTCTTGCATTTCATGTGTGAAGCCCTGGGTTCAATTCCTAACTCTCCCCCTCCCCACCCCCAATGTGCTGAGTGACACTGAGCATTTAGTTCTGTGACTTTCACGTCAACAAAACCAAAACCGTTCCTCCATGTTCTTCAGTAATTCAGAGGTTTGCTCAGTTACTAAGGTTTCCCCAAACTCCAGGGGAGGAAATGCTCCCCCGAGCCTACACTTAATCCAAAGGCCTATAATGAGGATGGACATTTAGCAAAATCTTCTATCTCAATATAATCCAAAAGATTTTTTTCCCAAGCAATTACAAAATTGCTCAACAGTCTTTGCAAAGGGTAAACACATAAAAATAACAAACCCTATTCTTTCCTCCCCAAAGAAGAGGACAATTGACACCATGTGACTGGGAATAGTGGCTGGCCCACCTCCACTCTGGGGCATCACATCAGTCCATTAAGTGGCAGTGCCTATTGATCCAGCCTCCTGCAAGAGGGCGGAGGAATAACAGCATTATAAAATAGTGAGAATTTAAAAGTCTATTAGATCCCTTGAAGGGCTTTTAAAATAAAATGTAAGGTCGAATGTTTGTATCCAACTGACCCAGGTTCAATCCTGACACCACATATGGTCTTCCAGTGCCCCCCCCCCCCCCCCAGTCCTGAGCAGAGCCAGGAAGAAGCCCTAAGGACTGCTGGGTATGATACAAAACACACACACCCAGAAAAACAAAGAGAGAAACATGTAACTTAAATTGCCTCTTGCACCAAAACCATCACCCCCCCCCAGTTAAATTGCTTAACCCAGTAACGAACTTGGTAGCCTAGAATTTTCTCTTCCAGAGGCAATTATCAATTGCCTACTTAGATGAACTTCTCTTACAGCCAAAAAAAAAAAATAAACCTTCAAGAGGCTATTAAAATCCAAAGGATAAGACAGTGAAGTCTTAACAAGCAGAACATTCACTCCCTAGATGCAAAAACTCTTTGTCTTCAAAGACTTAACTTCCCTTCAAAATGCTTTTCTCCTACTTTGGTGGCACACATAAATATTGCGCTGTACACCCCCACCCCAACCTCTACTCCTAGAATAATTTAATTAACTGCAAATAAAATTACTAGATTAATGTAATCATTAAGTGGTAGGATTTAGTATTTTGTTTTTCATATTCTCCATTATGAAATGACTTGTTTGCATTTTGGGCCCCACCTGGTAGGGCTCAGGGGACCCTATCGGGTCCCAGGGATCAAACCTGGGTTAGTTGCGTACAAGTACCTTACCCATTATACTATCTCTCCGATCTTAATTTTATCTTAAAAGCATTTCAAGGGAACCTGAATTCTTTCTCCTATCAGAGATGATTTACAAAGAAAGCAGCAATGTTCAAAAATGAGCACCACCATATTTCTTTTTGCTTTTTCCTTTCTGGGCCACACCCAGCTGTGCTCATGGGTTAGTCCTAGATTTACACCCAGGACTGACTCCTTGCAGGGCCAGGGGACCATATAGGATGCCAGGGATTGCACCCAGGTCAGCCATGTGCTAGGCAAACAAGCACCCTCAATGCTGTACTTTTCTCTCTGGCCCTACATTTCTTATTTAATCCTCACAGCCCCTTCAAGTAGGTATTACCCCAATTTCCAGATGAAGAAAGTGAGATCAGAAGGAAGTCTGCTTTTCATGGTAAACAAGTTTGAAAAAGGTCTCCTTTATTTTACAAACCATTCCTTCCTCTGTACTGTCCAGAGGCAGAAGCATAAACTACTGCAAGGGGAGAACTTTCCAAACCCCAAACAAAGATTTTGTAATCTTTGTAATATTCCTGTCCCTGAACAGTAATGAAAATGATCCACAGAACTAAAAGAACTTTAAGGTTTTTATTGGAAAAAAGAAAAGAAAAAAAAAACCTTCCCGAGTTACTTATCTGCAATAAACAAATCTGTGTGTGTACATATATGTATAAAGTTGCCCTGGCTCTAGCATTAATAATTCTTGTTAAAAACATCAATCTTTATTCTTCTGCTGCCTGATTATTTTAAGTTAGGAAAATGTTGAAAAATGAGTGTACCTTATAACCATCTGTGGGGAAATCTGAATAGAAAGGTGAACAGACGTAGCAAGGAGTTGAGATCTGTAAGCCCAAAAGTCAGTCCAGACATTGTTATCTAGTGCAAGACAAAGCACTCCACTCCACCTGGCTTCTCAGCTACTCTCTGCATCACCTTGGACAAAAGCCATTTGCACACTCCCCACCAGCCCTTAGGTGCATTGCAGCCTCTGTGTCATTGTGTGACATCACTGGGAGCTATGGTTCTAGGTACGAGGTCACTCGCTTGCCTGTGAAACTAGAAATACAGAAGAATTAGGAGACTTTTAAAATAACAGGAAGGAAGGGCATTTCCATTATCAGTCTCTATTCAAAGTCCCATTTCTCCCATTGGAGCTTTCTGAGGCCGTGTCAGTGGGGTGGCAGGGCACCATTTCGCAGACTCCCAATTTCACTTCCTGATAGAGTTAAAGACCTTCGTAATACAGCCTGTTCGGCTATAAAGGCACTGAGACACTATCACCTTTGGTGAACCAGTGCAGTCATCCAAGAAATAATCTGCAATCCGCGTGTGGCTTCATCACAAGGCTGATAACACGCCCGGTCCACGCCTGCGTCCACTGCCCACTGGAGATGCATTTTAAAATCTTTGTTACATAAGGCAACTTGTTCAATATTAAGGGGGGGAAACCTAAATCATCAGGAAACTCATCCCCCAGCCCCCGTTTCAATTTAGCCATGCTCAATATTTCCCCTCCCGCAATTACAAATGGGTTGACAGACCCCTAGATGAATATAAGTGTTACTGACAAAATGATGCAATACAGGCAGGAATCTGAATCCCAGACAAAATGCGACAACTGGAGATCAGGATTCCCTTTTCATCAGCATGAAGATGTGAGAGCTTCTTTTTTTAAAAAAAAAAAAAAGCCTCATACGAATCTAACTCTTCCCCCACCAGATTATTCTTTAAAAGACTTTTTCCCCTTTAAAATAACTCCTCCCAGCCTCCACCCAGTCTAGGCTCTCTGCAATATGACAAATGCAGAATCTTCTGGAATGACTTGATACTGCCTCCCACCACCGCTTTGTTTGCAATATCAGATCCCGGCGATTTTTCGCCCCCCCCCCCCAACTTATAGGAATTTCAACAGATGTGAGCCTGTATCTAAAAAAGAAACGGCATATGTCACACGTTTGAACCAGTCGGCGAAATTCACCACCTTTTATTTTCAAAGACAATGCCTACCCTCCTCTCTTCCCATACAAAAAACGGCAGTGGGGGGGGGGGAGAAAAACGGAGATGACCTACGGGGAGGCAATCAATGGAAACGCCAGCCCCGAGAAACGTCCCCCACCCCCATCCATCCCCGGAAAAAAAAAAAAGAGAGAGAGGGGGTGGGGGAGCGTGCGGGAGAGAAAGAGGAGCCTTTTGTTAAGAAAAACGTGAGCGCGGTGGCGGTTTCGCTTTCGCACCCACGAGCCTGCATCTCTGCCCCCACCCGAGACGCCCCAGGATGTCGGGAGAGGCGGGGAGCGCGGGGGGGGGGGGGGGGGGGCCCGGCCCGCGGCCCGGACCCGCCGAGGGAACGGGCGGCGCCGCCCAGACCGCAGGGAGAGAAAGAGGAACCGCATCCATGCGGCCCCCCGCCCCCACGCCGGCGGGAGGAGGGCGCGGGCACAAAGGATGCGCGCGGCGGCCCCGCGGGGCCCGCAGACCCCCGCGCGCCCGCCGGCCCGGGGCCGCGTTCGACCGCGTTCAGCCGCGGGCCACGCGGGGCCACGCGGGGCCCGGGGCGGGAGGGAGGGGGGGAGGGGACGAGCGACTCACGTTCTTCATGGCCGCGGCCATGTCGTCGTAGCGCTCCGCCTGCTCGGCCAGCCGGGCTTTCTGCACCAGTTGCTCGCGGTCCACCATCTTCGCGGGCGAGGTCGGGCCGGGGGAGGAGACCGGGGCGGCCTTGGGGCTGGGGGGGCGCGCGCGGAAGGGCGTCGACGGCGCGGCGGGAGCCGGGGAGCCCGAGGGGGGCCGAGCCACGGAGCGCGGCGCTGAGGCGGCTGAGGCGGCTGAGGCGGCGACGGGCGCGCGGAGGCTGCGGCGCGAGCTGCGACCCCGAGACAGGCGCGAGGCGGCTGCGGCGGCTGTGCGTGCCGCGGGCCGACAACCCCCCGAGGCCCCGCCCCGCCTCGTGACGTCAGGCCCCGCCCGCCGCGCCCCGCCCCGGCCCCGCCGCTGCGGCCTCGCCGCCCGCCGCCGCCGCCGCCGCCGCCGCCGGGCGCCTTGTCCTTCCCCGCGGCTCCCCGCACGCTCCCACTTTCTCCACTCGCTCGCTTTCCTGCGCCCCCAGTTTGTCCAGAGGCTACCCCGCTTTTCGCTTTGGAAGCAGCCCCCGCCCCAGCCCTGCCACGCCCCGGGCGCGTGGGCTTCTGGGAATTGTAGTTCGTTCTCGGGAGCGGAGCTGCGTTGGAGAGACCAAGGACAAAAGGGCGGGCGAGACTACATCTCCCAGCGGTCATAGCGCGCAGGCAAGGCGGGGCCAGTTCTAATTCCGCGGCCGCTGGGGACCCCTGGCGGGGACCGCGGCTGCATCAGCCCTAGCGAGTGCTGATTCACGGCCCCGCCCCAATATTCCACGGGAAATTACGAGGGGAAGAGGGTCAGGGCCTGAGCCCGGGACCCCATCCCGAGAGACAGTGAACGGTCTTAAAGGACAGGGGGAGGAAAGCCGTGTCCACTGTAGATCCGGACTCTCAGGCCCGCCCTCGGTACGGTTACATTACGGAGCCCAGCTGTGGGGGGTTTATCGCTCCCCTCCTCCCGCTCCACTACGTTCCTGCGCCCCATCAGCACCCTGAGTTCTTGGACCTGACCAGGTGAAAACGTAGAAGGACAAATACGGCCGAGCCAAGTGGGTGATTGCAGGAAGGATGCGGCCGCCTGCACACTGACCCCAGGAGAGCCCTTACTTCCTCTCTGGGTAGAGCGTTAAAGAGTGAATTCTGGAGGCTGGAGAGATAGCACAGACGGTAAGGCGCTTGCTTTGCACGCACTGACCTGGATTCGATCCCCACCACCCCATATGGTCCCCCAGCACCACCAGGAGTAACCTCTGAGTAAACCTCTTTGCCGGGTGTGACCCAAAACAGAACAAAAAAGGTTGAATTCTCTTACCGAGAGTCTGTGAAAAGCTTTTAGGCTTTCCTTTTGGACATGTGGCTCAGGTGCATCATTTCCAGTACGCATTTTGTTGACTTCATTGATTCCTCTATTACCTATTTATTAAGCACCCGTCAAATTTTCAACACTGTGCTAATGGGATATAGCAATGAGCATAATGGAGAAGGGGGGACTCTCTAAGAAAATAAATACAGATAAATATGTAGACTTAGTAAGGGTCAAGACAGGGCCCGAGCCATAACCCAGGCTCCATCCCATCCCATATGGTCCCTTGAGCCTGCCAGGAGTGATTCCTGAGTGCAGAGCCAGGGGTAATCCCTGAACAGAGCCAGGTGTGCCCCCCACCCCCCGAAAAATGATGAGACAACAAATAAGCAGAGGCTAGGAAGAGGGGTGGAGAAGAATCTGGAATGAAGAAGTCTCTGGGAAGGAATATTCCAGGCTCTATACTAGATGCTGGCAGAAGGCCAGAACGCTGCCCTCAGGGAATTTAAAATGTGTTAAGTGCTCTAAATTGTCTTTGGGGTTTTCTTTTTCTCCTTTGATTTTCAGTCTTTAGGGCAGTGAGAGAGAAAGAGGTTCTGAAGTCCTTGCTTTCCTGAGAAGGTTCTAAGCCTTTCTAACTCAGCCCCTCCAGAATGGAGGCAAGCAGAAGCCTCGTAGTAAAGACCCACCCCAGCCAGCACTCTGCAGGCTGGAGGGGTGAAAACCTCAGTGAGCACCATGGCAAGTGCACCATTGCCCTGCAAAGGCATTGTTCAGGCAGAGAGGGAAGCAGGCAGAGTGTGAGGAAGGCAATACAAGAAAGGATGCTGGCATCAGAGAAATAGTGCAGGGGGTAAGATACTACCTTGCCTTGCCTATAGCTGATTCAAATCCAGGCATTGCATAGGGCCCATTCCCCGACTCCCAGCACTGTCAGGAGTGTTCCCTGAGCATACAGCCAGGAGTAAGTTCTGAGCAACATCAGGTGTGTGCCCAAAAAAGAGTTTTTTTTAAATTAGAAATTTTAAGGGCCGGAGCAATAGTACAGCAGGTAAAGCACTTACCTTGCATGCAGCCAACCTGGTTCAATGCTTGGCATCCCCAAGCCTGCCAGGAGTGATTTCTGAGTACAGAGTCAGAGAAGAAAAAGAACACCTAGAGAATATACTCGTCTTCCTTTCCTCTGACATGGGACCCATTCCCTCTTCCCTCTGTCTCTGTCTCTGCCTCTCTCTGTCTCTCTCTCTGTCTCTCTCTCTCTCTCTCTCTCTCTCTCTCTCTCTCTCTCTCTCAGGAGGGTCACACCCTGCTCTGCTTAGGACTTACTCCTGGCTCTGCACTCAGGAATCACTCCTGGAGGTGCTTGCGGAAGTATATGGGGTACTGGGGACCGAACCCAGAACAGCCAAGTTCAAGACAAGCGCCACCCCCCCTCCCCACTGTACTATCTCTTGGGCCCCAAGCCTCCCTCCTCTTACTCCGTCACCCAGCAGCCCGCAGTGAACAAGCCCTCCCACTTCCTTCTGTCTCATCCATGAGTGTTTGCCAAGTTGATTCTCTTCTTTTCACTTCCTCCTGGCTGGCAAGCCCTGCACCCTCCTAGCACCGGCATCCCAGGTCCGTGGGAACATGCCCTCACAGCCCCCCTTGCTGCCCACACGTGGATAAAATGTGTCAGTGACTCGGGGCCCAGCTGCTCCAGCTCGGCCACTTCCTGGCACATGTCAGACTGCCTCCCTGACCTCTCCACCTCACTTCCTTCCCCCGCCAGTCCAACGAGCATTAAAAAAAAAAAAAAAAAAAAAACAACAACCACCAGACCAAATCTGTTTCAGAAAAGTCAAATAGATGCAAGCAAAGGATGTTCCAGGGTCAGGCTGGAGTGACCTCTGCAGCCTCCACACTGAGTCGTGCTCTGACTCTGCCAGGGAGACCTAGCCCTGTTCTCCTTTGCTTCTGATTTTTTTTTTAAGACTTGGTTTAAGTCTTTCCCAAAAGGGGATGGGGGTATACTGGGGAGATTGATGGTGGGAAATGTGCACTGGTGGAGGGATGGGTATTTGAACTCAAACATGAAAGCTTGTAACTGTATCTCACGGTTCAATGAAATTCACTGTCACTGTCACTGCCCTCCCATTGTTCATTGATTTGCTTGAGCTCGCCCAGTAACGTCTCCATTGTGACACTTGTTACTGTGTTTGGCATATTAAATACATCACAGGTAGCTTACCAGGCTTTGCCGTGAGGGAGAGAGACTTTCGGTAGCTTGCTGGGTTCTCCGAGAGGACTGGAAGAATCGAACCTGGGTTGGCCAGGTCTGCCGCATGCAAGGCAAACTCCCTTCCCGCTGTGTTATGGCTCCAACCCCAATAAAATTCAATAAAATAAAATTAAGGCGGGGCTGGAGAAATAGCACAGCGGGTAGGGCATTTGCCTTGCATGCGGCCAACCCAGATTTGATTCTCAGCATCCCATATGGTCCCCTGAGCACCGCCAGGAGTAACTCCTGAGTGCAGAGCCAGGAGTAACTCCTTAGCATCGCCAGGTGTGACCCAAAAAGCACGGATTTAAGCACGGTCCTCTCGTTGTTCATCGATTTGCTCGAGCAAGCCCAGTAACGTCTCCATCATGAGACTTGTTACTGTGTTTGGCATATCGAATACGTCACGGGTAGCTTACCAGGTTCAGCCATGCGGGCGAGATACTCTCGGTAGCTTGCCGGGTCTCCGAGAGGGGCGGAGGAATCGAACTCGGATTGGCCATGTTGGCCGCTTGTAAGGCAAACGCCCTACTGCTGTGCTATCGCTCCAGCCTGACCCAAAAAGCAAATAAATTAATTAATTAAATTAAGGGGCTAGAAAGATAGCACAGAGGGTAGGGCGTTTGCCTTGCACGTGGCCGACCTGGGTTCGATTCCCAGCATCCCATATGGTCCCCTGAGCACCGCCAGGAGTAACTCCTGAGTGAAGAGCCAGGAGTAACCCCTGTGCATCGCCGGGTGTGACCCCCCCAAAAAAGCAAAATAAATAAATACAATTAAAAAAAAAAGACTTGGTTTAAAGCTGCAGCTGCTCAGAAGCCCCCGACTGTTCAAAGGGCTGCCCCTGAACCTGGCTACCTTACTTGGACACAACTGCCTGGGTCAGGGTCAGGAGAACTTGAGAGCCGGGAGGTAGAACTAGCACTAAGGCTTCTACCTGGCCCTTGGCTGCTGGGGCAAAGCTTCTGCCTCCCCTGGGGGTTCCATTTTCTCACCTTGGAAGGGAGAATGAAAATGAGCGCTCAGGGCTCTGCCCAGTCAGGCCGATCCTGGAAGAGCCCAGCCCTCAGCAGTCTCGTGAAAATGAAAGGCCATGGGCATTTCTTGAGCCGCTTCAGGGTTTTTTGCGTCACACCCAACAGTGCTCAGGATACTCCCCACAGCGTGGTCATCTTGTACAGTGCTGGAGACGGAAGTAGGTCCCCCACCGGCACACCAGACACAGGCCTCAGACTCTCTACTCTCTCCCACCACGATTGGGCCACTGAGTCCCCAAAGATTCCCAATCAACCTCCTTTTCTAGGCCAAGAAATTGCGATGCAGGGCTGGAGCACAGTGGGTAGGGCGTTTGCCTTGCATGAGGCCGACCCGGGTTTGAGTACTAGCATCCCATATGGTCCCCTGAGCACTGCCAGGAGTAATTCCTGAGTGCAGAGTCAGGAGTAATCCCTGTGCATTGCTGGATGTGACCCAAAAAGCAAAAAAAAAAAAAAAAAAAAAAAAAATCGCGATGCACAAATAGGCTGGGTGAGCATGTTCGCCTGGGTCACCCTGCAGCCAGAATTGACAGAGCATGGATTCAAACCCGGGTCCCCAGGAGCAGAGGCCCTCCTCCGTGCCCCACCTCCAAGGTTCTCCCCCCTTGGCGAAAGAAGGGCGAGATGAGGGCACTGGACAGCTACCGGTGTGGCTTGCCCTCTGCCCCACCCCTAGGGCAGCGGGACATGACCTTCGCGGGCAGGC